GACCTGTACAGCAGGGTCGAGGCCGCCAGCCACAGCGCAGACACACACACCTACGGATCCCTCCTCACCCCCTGCCTGCCTTTGCCGCACGCTTTCTGCAGCAGGCACCTCTTGTCACTGCATCACTAGAGAGTGCAAGAAAGACAGAGTGACAGGGCACACAGGGGATGAGGACGAGATGTGAGGGAACCACTCTCGTACTGACCTACTCTCCCGACCATGACCCTCTGCCCCTGGCTTGTGTGGGTGCGTTATATTTGTAAGCGTGCCAACCGGCAGAACAAGTGCCTCGATGGTGTAGTTGGTTATCACGTGGGTCTCATATCAGAGATACGACCGAGAGCGCCTTGCGCTTGCAATCCCGAGGTCGAGAGTTCGATCCTCTCTCGGGGCACTCCTCCTTTTTTGCCGCCATGCCCTCGTGCTCTCGGTAGCAAGCACGTAGAAGCAGGTGCCCCCCCCCCCTCTTGCCCCCGCGAGAGGCGTCACCGTTTGGCCTGAGTACCTCCCTCGGGGGTGGGTGCGTCCCTCGCCCTCCTCGGCCCGCACCTGTGCCCTCCAGAGATGCTCACTTGAGCCCTTGGTGCAGCAGCGTGCAGTGCTGCCAAGGCCGCTGGCGAGGGGCAGTCGACAAGAGGGGGTCCGTGCGAGAACAGGCTCTCTCGACCTTCCCAAGTCTCGCGGCGGCGTGCCCTGCTCCCTCAGCAGGGACTGGTCAGACCGACGGTTGCGAGTACTGCACGAGGGCGAGAGCGCGCAACCCGGGCATTGAGCGGTGCGGCGAGCGGAGCAAGAGAGAGTCGCCTTGGCCCTCCTGCCTGCCTGCCTTGGGCGGGTCCTTTGCCGTGTCTCCCCCGCCGCTGGTGCTTCGGAAACCGCCTCCACATGTCAGGACAGGCTCTGCTTCGAGGTGGCCGAAGTCCACAGTCGCGAGCCCTTGCGCTGCAGTTGGAGACCTTGTTCCTCCTCCGACTCGACGCGCACTCGCTCAAGCGCTCTTCCTTGGGAAGGAGCGCTTGTACTCTGACGTCGAGTGCAGCACGTCGTCCGAAAAGTTCCATCCCGCTTGCGAGTTCCATGTTCTTCGGGACAACGACTCGCCACGGGACAGCCTCGCCCGACGTGTGGGTGACCTCTCGACGGCTCCGCTCCGACACCGGCCCGGAGCCGGACGGCAGGGTCGACGGCTTGCTCTGACAGAGGTATGTGGGGAGAAACGCCCTCGAGCGAGTTCCCGGTAGGCAGCAGTGGCCGACGGTCCCGGTCAAGTCGCGCCCGTGTAACCGCGTCGCCGTCACTCTGCGAGAGTCGCTGCCATGCCGCGTGCACGTCTCTCCCAACTCTTCGATGCCCTCGACCTTCATCAGAACGTCTCTGAGCAGCGACACCGCTGGCCGATCAAAAGTCGACTCGTCTGCGCAGCGCGCCACTGCCCATCGCCCCGCCGCGGCAACCGCTACAGCGCCACCTCGAACACCCTCTCCTCGCCACTCCACCTCGGCCTCCCCTCGCGATCCAGCACATACGCGTCCCTCTCGCGCAGGACGACGCGCCCCGTCGCTCGCTCCACGAGCAAGAGCGTCTGGACGCGCGTCGCGTACCAGTGCGCGCCGGTGCTGGCGTCGGGGGACTCGCGCGGGCCGGCGGTGGTTGAGGCGGGGAGTTCTGCAGGCGAGGTGGAGGTCGGGAGCGCGGGAGGGGTGGAGGAGGAGGAGGAGGGGGGAGGGAAGGGCGGAGGGAGGTCCGGCGTGGGAGAGGAGGGGTCAAAGTAGAGCGGGCGGACGAGGACAGTGTGGCGGAGGTGGGCGCGGTGCTGTATCGGTGCAGGGTGCGAAGTACTGCGAGCAGCTCACAGCAGGGGTGAGTGGCGCTGACGAAGAGCGTTGGAGACAGACGCACCTCAAAGCTTCGTACAGCCCTTCGACGAGCCTCTCCTCCGCCTCCTCTGCGCTCAGCCCCCGACGGTCCACCTCTTCCTGTGCCCGCCGCGCGGCTCTCTCCACCGCGGCGGCCCCGGACTTGACCTTTGGCCACTCTTGCTCGCCCTCCTCGACCTCGAGCGTCGCGTTGCTCAGGCCGCGGACGTGCCCCGCCGTGCCAATGTCGTCGAGGACGCGGGCGCGCTTGGAGGGCGTCTCGCGGTTCGAGATGTAGCCGAGGCGGGTGACGGGCCCGGCGACGGCGGACGGGGGCTGGGAGGCGGCGGAGGCGGCGGGCGCAGGGAAGGCGACTTGGCCGACGAGGAGGTTGAAGCCTGCATAGTCGGCCTTGGTCGCCTCGACCTGGTCGAGGTACTGCTGGAGCGGGTCGACTGACTGGGCTTGGCTGGGGAGAGGCGCGTCGACCGGCGGGTCGAGGAAGGCGCGGGTGAGGTTGCCCCTCGAGGGTCTCTGTGCGGGCGGGATCGTCTCTGTGTAGTTTGTGAGGGTCGCAAAGCGGAGGGTGCGGTGCTCGGTGGGCGGGAGCGAGATGCCGAGCCAGGTGCCTCCGGCCGAGAGGTCGAGGCCGGACAGGACCCGGGCGGTGTCGGAGGGCTGCTGGGCGAGTTGAGACGGGTCCCAGGCATGCCACGCTGCTCGAGTGGTGGGCCTGGCGAGAAACTCGTCGCGGTTCGAGGCGACGATGCTGCACACGGCGGGAGGCTCACGGGAGCTCATGATGAGCGCAGACTCGTCGAGAGGAACGGGGACACGCACAGGCTGTAATGGTCTGTGGCGGTGAAGAAGACGATGCACATGGTCGTGCTCACTACTAGGGCGCAGTATCGGTTGGGGACGAGCAAGAGGCGGTGCCGGGTTGGTCCATGTGGAGCGCCTCTTTCCCCTCCCCCCGCTCCCCCTCTCGGCCTGTGCTTCCCTGCTAGCCTCACATGCATGTGCACCCACGCAAACGCACAGCCCCGACAGACTGGGGCCTCGCCAACCCCGTCGAGCCCCCCTCGCTCCGCAGGTCCCACCTCGCCTCGTCCCTCTTTGCGCGCCCCTTCTCGCGCCAGACGGCCCTCGCAGCGCACCACTCGTGCGTCAACGCACTCGCCCTCTCACGGGGTGACGACCCGCGCTGGCTCGCCACCGGGGGAGACGACCTGCGCGTCTTGCTCTGGGACACCAACGCCCTCGACGACGACGACGGCCCCCGAGGCCGCTCGGGACTCGCAAAGGACCCCGTAGGGTGCTACCGCGGAGCCAGGGTGTGCTTGTTGGTTCCCTACATACCGAAAGTGGACATCGCCCTGACCTCATAACTTCCCCCTCCCCCAGTCCAACATCTTTGCCATCGCCTTTTCGGCCGACAACTCGCGCATCTTCTCGTGCGCGGTCCCTCTTCTCGTCCTACGTCTCGCCGGAACGACTGAGCCCACCTGACGCCGGCAGCGGCGGCAACGATGCTGTCATCCTCGCGCACGACCTCGAAACGTCGAGCGCGACCTTCCCGCACTCGCTCAAGGAAGGGGTCCCTCCGCTCGACGCCTGGCTCGACCACGACGTACGATCTCTCACTTCTCTTCAAGCTGGAGAAGGCACCATCTGACACGTCTGGCGGGCCCAGGACGCCGTCACCTCGCTCTCCGCCCACCCTCACCACCCCTCTCTCTTCCTCTCCTCCTCGTCCGACGGCTCCCTCCACGCATTCGACACGCGCACGTCGCCCGGACGAGTGGGCACGATCCTCGACACGTGCGGCATGAACGACGTGGTGCACCACCCGCTCTCGCCCGAGCTGTTTCTCTATTCGGGAGAGGACGGGCAGATGGGCCTCATCGATGGGCGCATGGGCTGGGGCGGTGGCGCGCATGGAGGAGGGCGCGGGGAGGAGGTGAGGATCGCGAAAGAGGTGGCTGTTGTCCGGGTGCGGCCTTGTCTCACGGGCGGTCTGGCCTCCTGACTTTGCCGGCGGTCGAACTCACTCTCGTGCCCGCTCCTCCTCGCAGTACGACACGTCCGTCTCACGCAAGGTCACCCGCAACGGGCACTCTACCCTGCAGACGGCCCGCCCCAACGTCTCCTCTAGCGCGCTGTCCCCCTCGGGCGCACTCGTGTGCGCCACCCTCTCAGGCCACCTCCCCACCCTCTACGAGCTCTCGTCCGCACGTCCACTCGCGACCTTCTCGTCCCCCGCCCCTCCTCCACCTCCCACCAGCTCCCCCAACTCCCCCGCCGCGCCGCCCCGGTCCTTCCCGCGCGGGTACCGCAACACGACGACGACCAAGCACGGGTCGTTTGGCGGCGGGCGGGGCGCCGAGCCGGGCCGGGGACTGTACTACGCGGCGGGGAGCGACGACTTTGCGGCGTACGTGTGGGAGGTGCCGAGCTTGGAGGCCATGCGCGAGGGGAGGAAGGAGGTGCGCTCTGAGGAGATCGAGGAAGGGAGGGTCGGTGCGTTTGCTTTGTGTCGTCTCTGTCGCATCTACCGAGGCTATGAGCACCGACTCTGCGACATGACGTCGCCCGCGCAGCGTTCCTCCACCCCACCTCGTCAACCTCCCGCGGTCCCTCGTCCCTCGAGCCGTCCGCACCCCGCCGCCCCCACGGCCACGGCCTGACCCTCCCCGCGCGCGTCTCCCCCGCGCACGCCACCCTGAGGGCACACCGCTCGATCGTCAACACGGCGCTCTTCCACCCGACGCTGCCCGTCCTGTACACCGGCGGGGTCGAGAAGCTCGTCGTGAGGCACGCGCCTCAGGCGCCTGCGTCGGCGGCGCCAGCGGTCGAGCAAGGGGACGGTGACGGGGACGGGGACGGGGAGGACGGGGCCACGCCGCGCGCGAGGAGGAACAAGACGTGGACCTTCACGCCGCGCGTCCCCGCGACGCACGCCTCCCACCCCGGCCTGCTCGGCCCGCCGGACCCCGCGCTCGACCCGTCCCTGGGCCTCTCGGGCTCTGCCGCCGCTGAGGAGGAGGCGCGCCTCCGGGCCGAGGACACGGCCGTGCTCGAGTACTTTGACGGGCTCGTCGAGGGCGAGGACGAGGAGGGGGAACTGTGGGCTGGGGAGGGGGCGGGGACGAGCAGCAGCGAGGAGGAGGAGGAGGGGGAGGAGGGGGACGAGGAGCGATGGGCTGCGGAGGGCGGGTGGGGCGTGCCGGGCTCGGGAACGACGAGGCGGATCCTGAGGGCCATCTATGCGCTCGAGGCTGAGCAGGGCCGCTCGTCGGACGACGAGGGCGGGCGGCAGGCGGCGGGGTCGAGCGAGACGGACGACGACGACGACTCGGAATGAGTCTGCGTCTGCTCTTGCCGACTCTTGCGGTGACGGAGAGAGGGACGGAAAGAGGCCGGTATCGTTGCGATTGCGAAGAGAGAGAGAGAGAGAAAGGTATCGACACGAACGGGAAAGGGTAAGCACGACGACGAGACACGACCATCAAGCGACCCCTCCTCCGTCCAGCTCCTC